ACCTTATCTTCTAATTCACTGATCTGATCCTCAGCTTCCCCTAATCTGTTGTGTATTCCTTCCAATGTGTTCTTTATTTGTGCTATGGCATTCTTTATTTCTGTTTTCATAGTTATTATATATTTTCTCATGATGTTGAGCATCTTTACCATCATTATTCTGAACTCTCAGAAAAATTTCTTATCTCCATTTCACTTATCTCTTCTTCTGGCGAATTCACTTGTTCTTTTATTTGGGGGTTGTTTCTTTGTCTCTTCATTTTGGGTGCCTGTTTGGATTTGTGACTATGTATTAGTAGATCTGCTATGCCTCTCAATCTCTAGTGCAGGACAATGTCAAATGTTGTTTCTGACTAATTAGATCAGGCAAAGACTCAAAACCTCCAGAAACTGCTTCTGCTTGCAGACTGATTGGATTTAGTCTTGAATAGCTCTCAGGTATGGTGAGAGTTTTTCCCAACAGGGTGGGGGCAACTGCTTCTGCCTGGGGGCTAGTTGTTATTCTCAGTCTTTTAATGAGCTGAAGAAACTCCACACTGTGGGGCAAGGTGTTTTCCAATAGGGTAAGTTAACTGTCTTCCCCCCAGGCAAAACAACCTAGATACAAATTGTCTTCATGAGAAAGATGACTTCAGCAGTGAGAGGGAATGACTCAGCACGGGAAAACAGGGGTCTTCCTTCTTAGCTCTAACCCCAGAATCCCCAACCCTGGCTTCTGCTCACACAGCTCCAGTCCACTCTGCCCTCCCTCTGCCGGAGCACAAGGATACACAGGGAATTTTGTGCATTGGCCCTTTAAGAGGGTGTCTCCCTGGAAGACAGCAAACCTGCTGCTTTTCACAGTCAGATGTTATGTGGGTATCCTTAGTTCTGGTGCTCTCTGCTGGGAGGCTCAGCTTGGGGATTGGACCCCAGAGTTCTCAGTGGCAACCCCCTGCAGCTGAGATATCTCTCTGGAACTTCATTTGCTGTCTGTGGGAGCCTGGCCAACCCTTTTGCACCTCCACCCCTCCTACAGTCTCTATGTGGTCTCCACTTTCTGTCCTCGGTTATCAGGGTTCTCTCCAGTTAGTGTCCAATTGATTATTCAGGAAGCTTTTCTGTATTTTAGTTGTAATTCCAGTTTGGTCCTGGGAGCATGTCTGTGCAGCATCCACTTACTCTCCTGCCGTTTTTAATCTGCATAGTTATTATTTTAAACTAGATGCCCAGTGCATGACATTCGTGTACTTAGAGGAGGGGGTTCCTCAGCCTGGCCTGCACCCTCTTGCAGTCCGGGAGCCCGCTTGGGGGAGGTCTGACTTCTGGCTTAGCGGTGCTCCCCCTGTGGTAACTCACTGATCACCAGGGAGCAGTTCCTGCATTGAGCATCTGCCCCCTGGTGGTCAGTGTGCATCATAGCAACCGGTTTGGTCAATTTGCATATTAGCCTTTTATTACATAGTTTATATAATTACTAGAGGCCCGGTGCACGAAATTCATGCACTGTGGGGTGGGGGTCCCTCAGCGCAGCCTGCCCCCTCTCACAGTCCGGGAGCCCTCAGTGGATGTCCTACTGAGCGGGCCTAAGCCACAGTCTGGCAGCAGAGGCTCGGAGCAGGCGCCCCAATATGTTCATACACCACACAATCCAGAAATCTACACTAATAAAAGAGAAACATGCAAATTGGTGTCACTCCACTACACCCACCAGCCAATCAGATGAGTGTGCAAATTAATCCAACAAAGATGGCGGTTAATTTGCATACGCAGGCGCAGAGCAAAGACTGAAGGCTCTGGCCAGAGTGAAGACTGAAGACTGAAGAGGCTTGGCTTCTCCACTGCGGCCGCAGTGGAGAAGCCAAGCCTCTTCAGTCTTCAGTCTTCACTCTGGCCAGAGCCTTCAGTCTTTGCTCTGCGCCTGCGTATGCAAATTAACCGCCATCTTTGTTGGATTAATTTGCACACTCATCTGATTGGCTGGTGGGTGTAGTGGAGTGACACCAATTTGCATGTTTCTCTTTTATTAGTGTAGATTTCTGGATTGTGTGGTGTATGAACATATGCACCTGCCTGTATATTACAAAGTCTTCTGATTCTAAGTATAAATTATCTTCCTCAGGCTCTTCCTCCTATGCATTTCCACTGTTCTCACCCTTGTTCTGATTTATACAACATTTTAAAATATGGGTTCTTGGATTTACAAAATGCTCACACATTGTAAAAAAATGAAAATAATACAGATAGTTAGACAGATCTCCTCACCTATCACCAACCCTTCTTTACTACCAAGTCTGCTTCATGAGCATGTGACTTCAACAGTTGCGTGGGTCCTGTGCTTGGTTCATTGTGCTGCTGTTGACTTCTTGAAATTCTTAATAATTCTGAATACAGAGTCCTGCATTTTCATTTTTCACTAGGCCTTGAAAAATTTGTAGACGGAACTGTCAACATCCCACCCACTTTCACTCCTTACCTCTTATGTAATCACTCTGAACTGTTTGCTACTTCCAGAAATTTTCTGTGTATGTAAGCATGTTTGCATTAGTTTTTCCATTGATGGGGTTATTCTATACATATTCTACACTTTTTCTTGCCTCCTCAGTGTTGCATGACTGAATTTTTCCATGAAACAGCCTCCATCTCCCTAGCACCCATTTCCTCCTTCCCTCAGGCAGTCTCCATACCTCTACAGGATGAGCTTTCTAATTCTGGTTTTGCCACTACTCTGCTTAAAATGTACAATGCTTCCCTGTTGTGTATAGAGGAAATTAGCATCCTGGCAAACAAAACAGACTGTAGGACCATTGCCAATGTACTGGTGAATTGAGTTTCAGAGCATGCGGGTCTGAAGGACAACTCTGCACTAGGAAAATCTCCAAGATAAGTCTTTTCTGCAAAGAAGTCAGGTCTCTGCTCCTATCCCCTAATCTGAACATAGGCCTTTATTTTTAGACTTTGCAATATCGAATCTGTCTAATCGGTAGGAAAAAGTGATTTTCCCTTTTTCTTACCATTACTTTGTAAAGTTGCGAATAATTAACTTTAAAATTAGCAAAGACAGTATTAGGGACTTCATGTCTGTGTGCCCCAAAATTCATATATTGAAACCCTAACCCCTATGTGATGCTATTAAGAGGTAGAGCCTTCGGGAGGTAATTAAGTTTAGATGAGGTCACAAGAGTGGAGGCTAATCCCAATAGGAAGAGGAGACCAGAGCTCGCTCTCTCTGCTTTGAGGGGACACAGCAAAGAGGCACCCAGATCTGGGACTTCTCAGCCTTCAAAACTGTGAGAAATAAGTATCTCTTTAAGCTACCCAACCCATGATATTTTCTGATAGGAAGGAAGGCTTTAGCTTTCTATAATGTTGATTAATCTACAGCATAGGATTAGGTCATGTAGACTTACTATTTTATGAATAAAGAAAATGAGTCTGAGAAAAATGTATACCATGTCCAAAGCCATGGAATTTAGCGATGAACTTAAATTGATATCTCCCGCCCTTCAGGTTAATGGATTGTGACATTTTGGAATTTTCCTGAATCCTCTAAATTCTGAGGTCAGAATGGTATTCTGAAAGAGTTTAGAGAAATCTGATTGTATGGCAACAACTACTTTTATTGCTTCCAGTCCTGCATTTCTAAGATATCAAGGTTCGAATGTCCAAGTTGGTGGTTAAGAATGCCTGTATAGTAGCCACTCATAGACCTGTGCCATCATGGATGAATTAACCTCTGAGCTTTAATTTTCTGAAGTGGAAAACAGTAGATATAGTATCTACCTCACAGAACTATGATTAGAAATAAACAAGATTTTAACTTATCGAATTATGCAACAAATATTTATTCAAAAATTGAATAAATTATGTATCAAAAATTGTGCTAACAGTGAGAGTGTGGCAATGATTCACACACATTTCCTGCCTTCATGGACCTAATAGTCTGGTTGGATGTAGGGTGTCAGAAAGCACCATAGTTCCTGTACAGAATTAATGCTCAGTTAATAAAAAATATTTATAAATGTTTTCCCTTCCTTCCTACTTTATCTTTAGATATAGTCTCGGTCACAGAATAGGGTGATTACCTTGTAGTCACCATGGAGAAGTCTATCCTCAGCCCTGCCCTCTCACCCCTTCATTCTTCTGAAATTACTTGCTAGTAGAAAATATAAACTAAAAATATGAAAACTGGCATACATCCAGTCCTGTGCCCATTTCTTTATGCATTAACAGAGTTGTTGTTTTTAAATCAGTTTTGAACTCAATCTTGTCCATATGTAAGAGTTTACAAACAATTTTTTTAAGGAAATGCCCATGTAATCGACGAGCTTTGAAAACCTGGATGAGGCTTACTTACTTCATGGTAACCAAGCATCTCAGCCTATGTGCCCAGTTCGCACGTCCGAGAACTCGGCTGGACTGGACCTGGTCAGAGTGCGCCTCGCAAGAAGACTGCATGGCTAAGAAACCAGCTCAGAAGCCGCACTAAAGGAAAGGCCGCCTAAGGAGGACCATGCGAGCCCTGCTCGGGAATGGGAAGGAAATCGCAAGGCCAGTGTGCAGAGACCATGCCATGCTCTCGGTCAGCTCCAGCAGAAGTGAGTCTGACATGCAGGAGGACTGCACTGCTTGTGTGAGCTGCAGATGTCTGTTTGGCCTGCTGTGCTCTGCTAGGACTGCAGTTGTCAAGGCCAGCTGCTCCGAACGGCCAGCTGTCAGCGGACATAGTGAGCTCTTACCACTTTGTGCTGAGAAAACTACCATGGAATGCGATCAGCACAGGATATGACTTTAATATCCTCCATCTGTCAAGTAGAGTATTTGGAAATAACGGCGTGCTTTTGTGCAAGAATTGTTAAAGCTCTTCTACGATAACATTTACACACGTTAAAAAGCCAATTGCATGGTTAGTCAGGCTCTGCGGAGTGAGAGGGCAGGGATTGGTCTAGCAGATGCGACTCATGGCCACCCGTGCTGTGGGTGGTGTCAAGGAAAGGATTCCCCCACTGGATCCAAACCTACCTTCCTTGCTCCCAGGCACTGCTGCAGCTGAGGCTTAGTGAGCACACCATACTGGCAGTTGTGGGGCTGCCACGTTATTTCTCTCCAGTCACAGGTCCGGTTGTCTGAACAACTAAGGCAAGGCATGATCCATTGGCCTGCAACAGACACCAAAACCTCCTTTGGTTCAGTTTCTACTGATGGAATTACAGTTTGCAAGGGACCTTGGGGTTCAGCTGTGGCACACCCTCCCAGAAGCTGCGGTGAGAAGACCACTCTTGCCATACAAATTGAGTGGAGCAATGCGTGGCCTCTTTCCAACCAAATAGAATCTCACTACATAATGATCTGAAATAGCACAGTTCATGCTGAAATCAAGTCTGAGTTCAGTTCTGTGAAACCACGTACTTATGCAAAGTCTAGTGATGAGGCACTACTCAATTAAAAAGCATATTTAAAAAATAATTTTAAAAAATAATCACATCTTTAAACTGTAAAATTAGACTCTTAGGACCAACGTAGGTGGGGAGCCACTAATATTGAGGTAGTTGGCCATAAATAGTGATTAATTTAACTCATGCTTATGTGAGCAATCCATTAAGAAAATTACTTTTATATTCTGATAATTTATTATTTTGAAGACCAGTTCCTTAATTTGATGGATGTCATTTTTGGTGTGAATCTCTTCACCTCTTTTTAGCTCCGTTGCCTTTATTTCTTCAGCTGTTAGATGAGGTATGTAGTGTTCTCACATGATTGGTGTGAGGATTTAATGGGATAATGTACTTAATGCACCAAGCACAGTTACAATATCATATTCATTTTTGTTCCTAGTAGACTTCAGGCACGAAGTAGGTCCCAAGCTTTAGTAAATGTGTACAAAATAAATGAATATTCTCAGTGTATTTAAGATCTTTTCTATTTTATCGATAAGGTGATATGCATCCAAAACATACTAAGTGTAATAAGTCAGTCAGAGAAAGACAAGGATACTTGTCTTTCTCTGACTGACTTAGTGTGAGTAGATACATGAATAATTTATTAGAAAAAAATCAAGAAATGACTTGATTTTTCCTTGTTTATCTTTTCAGAAATGGGAGTGTGCACTAGCACATTAAACATGAAGTGGTCATTTATCTTCTTTGTGGAGAAGACCCTGATGTCTACAGCAGTAATATGCTCTACCTTAAAGGCTTGCCTGTGTTACTACTAAATGTTTCTCTTTAAAATATTGAGGAGATATATATTCCCAGGAACTTTTTAAGTTTGAAAGGAAAAATGTGAACAACGTTATCCATTCTGGCTTTGATTTGTGGCTCTGCTAACAAAAGTATCAGGTGTTACATTGATTTTAGCGGGAAGAGTTTCTCCTTTCGGGGGATGAATACGGTGCCATCTGCACTTCACGACCTCGGGGATGTCTGGATTGTGTATGCGGGTGTGTGTGAGAGGAGAGCTAGTTTATGTCTTACTAATACATTTTTTCCCCTCACAGAAAGGGAAAAAAGTGTATTTACGTTAAGAGAGAGAAACTGGGGGAGATAAAATATTACTCTCTAGGAGGATTTTAATTTAGTACATTATTGAAGTAGCGTCCCTATTAGATGTTAGATGCTATTAGTGTTAAAATATCACAACAACTTAAAAATATTTAACATTTTCATAGCACCTGGCAGATGCTAGGGATATTCTAAGCACTTTTAATAAATTATCCAACTTAAGCCTCCTAACTATGATGCTAAACCTCAAATATTTATAATCAGACAAAAAGTTTATAATTTATACAAGTCAAATAATTATAATAATAAGTAATGCATAATTAAGTAAAAAAAATATCTGTGTGGTCCTGAAAGAGCCTGGGCTTTGGAGATACACACCTGGGCTCTGCCTCCAGCTAGCTCTGAGGATCTCAACACCACACAGCAGGGCCACCTGGAAGGCTTTTTTAAAATCACCCATGCCCGGGTTGTTTGCTAGGCTCATTAAATCTGAGCTGCTGGGCTGGGCATGGGACTCATGGAGTTTTTTGTTTTTTAATTAAATATAGTTAAGTTTATTTCCTCTAATTCTATTTTTTCTTTATTGTTGAAAGTATTATATATGTCCCCTTTTTGCCTATAATTGACCTCCTTCACCCCACACTCTCCTACTGCAGATGTTTCATAACTGCCTTTAAAATTCCTGCAGGCTTAGCTCAGATTGTCTTCAAACAAGTTCTATAGTCGTTGTGAGTTTTCGGTTAAGTAGAGATAGAGCTGTCCCGGGAGGCTGCAGGCCCCCAGGGGAGATTTTGGATCACCGAAAGCTCCACTGGATTCTAGAGCAGCCAGCTCCATGCTATTCGTTTAATCCAGCGGTTCTCAACCTGTGGGTCGTGACCCCTTTGGCAGTCGAACGACCCTTTCACAGGGGTCGCCTAAGA